GCCTGGCTTTCTCCACGTGGAAACCCTGAACTGAGAAAATAACTCAGAAACTGATCCAGAATCAATGAAATCTGCAGGGTGCTGAGAGAAACAACTACAAAAGTAATCCTATGGGGTTTTGGTTGTTTCGTTTTCATTTTTTAATGAAACACCATGAGTATCTTTTGAAGATAAGCTCATCAGCAAACAGTTGCAAAAATACTTAAGTATACCCAGCACCTTGAATTCAACTAGTAGAAGCAACAAAATAAATTGAAAAACCAGATAAAATAGAGAAATGTTAAGGTATTTTAAAACAAGTTGTCTAAACTATTGAAAGATAAAAAGGGGTTCCACAAGCGGAAAAACCAGGAGAATTTGAAATAGAGCCACATAGAAATGCTAGAAAAGAAAAAACAAAACTCATTGAAATGGAAAGCAACAAAACACCTCAACTAAGAGTTTAAGAAGTCTAGACATAGCTAAAGAGAGATTTGGTGAATTGGAATTAGATCTGAGGAACATACCTAGAATGCAGTATAGAGATAATAAGATATAAAACATAAAAAAGAAGATAAGACAGGATAGAAAGGGAGGCTCTGATATATTATCTAATTGGGTTCCACAAAGAAAAAATAGAGGGTTCATAGAAGATCAACATGTCTTCTTATAAAATATTTTGTTGTCATATTTGTCAGAGATTTAATGCTGGATTAGATAAAACTTGGGGGAATTTCTCTACTTATTTTATGTTTTAATTTTGGCTCGTAGCATGTATACTAATTTATCGACATTAGTTTATTATGCTAAGACTATGCACGAAGCCTGACACTCCCATGTTCTCTAATAGAGAGGCAGCCCTATGTAGATTACCAGAGTTATTTCTTCAGCTCCTAGCCCACTGCTGATTCAACAGAAATGGGCATTTGACTCAAGGACAGCTATCCCATAGGCTTGACCTGACATGGCGTGATAGGAAAAGATGAGCTGGGCAAGTCAGATTCCGTCTCTTGAGTATTTGAAGTAGGAAGGTAGGTGACAGAAGAAGCTAAAATGGAAGGTTAATGACATGGCAGGTGACTAGAGGGGTCATCTTGGTCCACGTGCAAGCTCAAGTTATGATGAACCAGAGACCATGATTAAGGAGAAGTCATGAAGAAGAGAACTATCTGGGAAGAAGTGAAGAAGCCAGGTGGGAGAGTAAAACGTGGCTGTGTCATTCACAGCAGTCATCAGCATCTAATTGGTCTCAACACTCCCTAGGGCTTTCTGGAACCCATTTCTAATTCCAGCAATGCCAAGCTATGCCACCATTCCTAGATCCTTGTGGAGGCTGTTGGTTCAGCTTTTCTTGGATTTCCATGACTTTTTTCCTTCCAGTGAACCCATCATCACAACATGAGCGAGTCTCTGTTCATTGTAAGCAGAAGTTCTTAAGGAACACAGTCCAGATGCAGTTAAGTAATACAACCTCTCTAGGTTACCTGGGGTGTATACGCTGCCTTTCCTAACCGTTTACTTCTCCTCTGTGGAATGGGCATGGAGAGGGCTGGAGGGAGCGGGCTGATTTTGCGGTTTTCCCCAAGGAAGTTGGCTGTGCTTGGGGGTGTGCTGTTCTCTGCTACCCTTGCAGATGTAGAAAGGACAAGGGGAGTGGCCAGGTGAGCTGCTCATCAGAACAGCGTCCCTGTGGACCAGCTGACCAGCCTGATTCTACGGGTGGTAGGACCCCGGGAACGACTCTGGCTGCTTGCCCCGTGCCTGTGCTGCCACGTTTTTAGGCTGAGTCGGTGGCTCTGCTACCATGTGCTCTGGGCACGGGAAAGGCAAGCATGGGGCCAGCCTGGGCACACGCTCTTCAGCCTCTCCTCTCCACCCTGTCTTCAGTCTAGGGAGTGTCACACCACCGCTCTCAGGTGTCAGCTTCCCTCTTCGCAACCCCATGGAGCTTTCAGCTGTTCCACAACACAGCAAAGGAGGCCACAGATAGTGCGGTCTTTTCTTTTCTTTTTTTTTTGAGTTGGAGTCTCACTCTGTCACCCAGGCCGGAGGGCAGTGGCATGCTCCCGGACACCGCAGCCTCACCTTGCTGGGTTCCGTCGATCCTTCCACCTCAGCCTTCCGAGTAGCCGGAATTACAGGCGCGTGCTACCACGCCCGGTTAATCTTTGATTTATTGTAGAGATGAGGTCTCGCCAAGTTGCCTGGGCTGGTCTTGAACCCACAGGCTCAGGCAATCCACCCGCCTCGGCCTCCCAAAGTGCTGGAATGACAGGCTGAGCCACCGAGCCCGGCCTAGTATTTTCTTTTCTACTCTCTGACAGAGAAAACTGGCATGGTGGCATCCATCAAGACGAGGCAAAGTATGGTTTAGTGATAAAGAACATATGCCCTGGAGGGAAAGGACGAACCTCAGTTCATGTCCTGTCCCTGCTACTAATTGTTGAACTGCTAGACAGTTTCCTTCGTCTTTCTGTGTCTTAGTTCCCCATCTGTGAAAGAAGGTAGAAATGCCTCCTTCCACATGATGTTCCGTTGAGAGCACTGAGTTGGGAGTTCAAAAAGTATTAGCCTCCCCTCCCCCATCACTCTCCAGTTCCAGCAGCCAGGCCTTCTGTCTCAGTGTCAGACACTGCATCTGGTCATCAAGCCCCAGGACCAGATTTGGAGTCTATTAGACTCCGGTGACAGTGGATGTGGGCTTCTGGAGCAGGCAGGGGAGGCGGGGGAGGGGTGTGCTGGCACGTCCAGGCCACACAGTCCAGCCACCGCTTTGCGTGGGAAGGCCCGGGGCTGGGGAGCGCACAGGGCCCCGTGTGCAATGGACGCCAGCCTTCTCAGCTGCTCGTTGCATCCTGGCCCTCTTCCCGCGTGGGAGAGGAGGAGGCTCATTCCCTGTGAAGTGTGGGCAGGAGAGGCTGAAGCCAGCTGCCGTGGCGAGGCCACAGCTGACGTCGAAGCTGCTGCGCCCAGGTGGCCCCGAGAAGATGCCTGATCCACTCGGTCTCTGACCCGCAGTGGGGGGGGGAGTTCTGCAGCCCGAGTCCGCCCACAGTCCCGGGTTCTGCCGAACAGAGGGTGCTGTTTGTCTCACGCATTCCTCTCCTTTTCTTCCCTCTCGATTCTCCCTCTCTCCTCCTGCCTGTCTCTCTGGCCTCTTTCCCCTCCTTGGTCCAGGAATCTCTCTCTGCCGACTTCCCAGACCTGCATCTGTCCCCACAGGCACGTTTCACTCCGGGGCGGCCTGGGACTGGAGACACCCAGCATGCCCCCCTGCGCCCTGCCTCAGGCCTACCAGTTCAGAAACTGTCTCCAGATGCCCCTGGGAGGGGGGAGGGCACTGCGCCGGACTAGACGCGGACAGATACGCAGGCAGCTCTGGGGAAACACACATCTCACGGTTCCTAACACCCCAAGACTCATGGGTCGAGGCTCTGCTGTAGCCTTGTGTTATGATTCAGAAACGGGGCTGGCGTTTTCGTGGGTGCATCGTTCAGCTCTAAGAGAGAGACGGAAGCTCTGCAAAGTGAACGGGTGACTTATCTTTGACCTGCAGGGAGTGGGGCGGGCGTGTGGGCGTGGGGAGCATCCAGGGTCACCGCGCCTAAGACGGGAAGGGAGGAGTGGCTGGGCGGGGTCAGCCTCCGGGACCGGCAGCCTCCCGAGAGTGTTCCTGCGGTCCCGCCAGACAGCCCTCCTCGGCCCCCACCGCCCTCGCATGCACACACTGAGTGCCTCCCATCACAGATCTGGGGAACACCCGGCCGGCTTGCCCCAGACAAGAGGCCGACACAGCCCCATGGCTGGGACTCCCTGAAGTATGTCTGATGGGTTCAGTGAGTAGCGCCAGCCCTGGGGAATCCAGTAGCGAGAATTTACTTATTTTCCCTTTTTTCTTCTGAAAGTAACACATGTTATAAATGTCTTATGTGTTGATGTGGGAGGGGGGCAGGGAGAGAAACAAGAAAATAAAGGAAAAAAGTATGACTTGGATCCCCAGGAGTCAAGCAACCACTGTTGACATTTCGTGTGTTTCCTTCTGAAGTTTTTTTTCTGGCACATTTTTAGGCTTTAAGAAATAACTGTGATTATCAACATCGTGACATAGATTTTCCCATCATTAAAAACTCTTCATGACTGCAAGAGCTTTTTAACAGTTTTGAGACATTTCTCAGCTGAACATAACACTCTAACCTTTCCTCATTTTTGAAAATATGGGGTGGTTCATCACCTGCTACAGTCATGCTGCCTTGGCGACTGTCCTGGAGAGTAAAGACGAACACAGGTGCCCTGAGCTTCTAGTGTGTGGGCACGCGACACACGTGGTTCCAGGTGTCAAGAAGTTTGCAATTTGGTTTGGGAAATCAAGTCCTAGTCCCGGGTTAGTTCTGAGCTCTTTTCTTTTGTCCTGTCAGATTGAAGTTAAAGTGTACCTTATACTGCAGAACTAAACAAACAGAAAGGAGAGCCAAGGAAGGTGTATGTGTGGATATAATCGGCATAGAGCACAGAGCTGGATTGTCTGAGACAGAAAGGGAGTTGTTAACAATAGCAAATGCAAGGGAAGCGAGGGTCTCACGGCAGCTGGTCCACTTTGAGCTTGGCCTTACTTGTGAGTACCTAAGGACTGATGTCAAGCTCTACCTTCTCCCCCACCTGCTGCAGGTGCTGAGGTTGGCGCTGGCTGTCTTAACTTCCCCCTGGATGTGTCAGCCCTGTTCACCAGGTATGTGCTGACCTGCAGCCAGCGCCAACGGCCGGCAGTGCGAGTTGCTGTTCTGATCTTCATGGACCTGTTGGGACCGACTCCCCCATTTCGCTTGTACAGTCACTTGGAATCTCATGAAAAAATCGTTTCAAAAAAGAGCTCTGAAATTCGTAACGCTTGTGTGGGGGGGTGGCGGGTGTCAGGGCAGCACAGGGGTGAGGTCAACACAGGGAAGAAACCAGGAGACGGCCCACGTGCAGATGTCTCAGACATCGTGTGAGAGGCCAGAGTGACGTGCGTGCACCGGAGAACCATGCGTTTCCAAGCCCAGGCCCGGAATGACCGTCAAGGGACTGCCCCGGGGTCTCGGCAGGACGGTGTTGGGGTACCCGCTCTGCTGGGGACAGGGCTGTGTCTCACCCCTGTTCTCTCCTTTCAGATCGATGACCCCACCAGCACCCTGGAGGAGGCAGTGAGTGAGGATGAGGCCTCGGCCTCCGTGGAGAGCCTGGGAAGCCAGCAGGCCTTGAGTGCCGACTACCTGGGTTCCGATTACCAGAGTGGACAGCTGTATCCGTTCTCCCTTGGCGGGGATGCCCCGGAGGCCTCGTTCACGCTCACAAATTCGGCCCCGATGACGCAGTCCTTCCGGGAGCGGTGGTACCTGAATCTCGACAGCCTGACGGAGCGGGCCCTGGTCCCGCAGTGTGGCGACGGGGAAGACCTGTACCTCCTCACAGGCGCGGTGCCCTCGGACCGCAGGCTTCAAGACAGGGTGGCCATCCCTGAGTTCGTCTGGCTGGCGGCCTGCTGTGCTGCCCCTGGCGGGGGCTGGGCCATGGGGTTCGTCAAGCACGCCGGGGACAGCGACATCATAGAGGACGTGATGGTGAGTGACCTCGAGAAGCTGCTTCCATCCACCCCACAGCTGTTCCACAACAACTGCGGCGAGGACGAGCAGGACACGGAGAAGATGAAGAAGATCCTGGAAGTGGCCAACCAGGTCCAGGAGGAGGAGCGAGCCGTGCGGGCGCGGGACAGCGCCCGCGCCCCCGCCCCCAACAGCCCCAGGAGCCAGAGGGCTGCCCTGGCGCCTGCAGCGGTGCCCGAGGGAAGCGGCAGCCTCCTGGGAAAGCTCACGGGCTTCGTTGCCACCCCGTTCATCCAGCTTTTCCGGTGGTTCAGTTACCTCGCGGTGGCAGTCCTGAAGGGCGTCGTCTGTTTCCTGTGGTGTGTTGCCAAGCAGGTGGTCCACGGCGTAGAGGGCTGCCTTTACCGCCTGGGCGCAGCCACCACCTCGTACTTCATGGCCATCGGGGAAGAGTTGGTGAGCATACCCTGGAAGGTGCTCAAGGTCGTGGCCAAGGTCATCCGGGCCGTCCTCCGGATCCTGTGTTGTCTGCTGAAGGCTGTCTGCCGCCTTCTGAGCGTCCCTGCCCGCGTCCTCGTGGATGTGGCTGCTTTCCCTGTGCACACCGTGGGCGCGATCCCAGTTGTGTGCAAGGACATCGCCGTGGGCCTGGGGGGCACTGTCTCGCTGCTCTTTGACGCTGCCTTTGGCACCGTGGGTGGCCTGTTCCAGGTGGTGTTTAGTGTCTGCAAGCGGATCGGCTACAAGGCTACTTTGGACAATTCTGGGGAGTTGTAGAACCCAAAAAACCAGGAGTGTCCAGTCCCGGTGAATTTGAAGGCTCTAATGTTTTGTCTGTGCAATGGGTTTCTGTTCCCTGCCAGTTATCACTGTATTTTGCCTTTGGTGGGGATGTCTGCTTGTTTTTGCAAAGGGAGATGGCACAATTAAACCTGACAGAAGAGACATGTCCAGGGTGGGCTTAGGTATACTGACCTGCTGTGCACCCCCTGTCACATGTGCAAACTTCCAAGCAACTGATACCTTCCGTTATTTGCTGTGCTATAGATGACTGCCTGAAATGCTTTGGTATTCACTTGTGATTAATTAAAAATTACAGAGGAGGGAAGGATGGAAAGAGGACAGTTTCAAACCAAAGGGTTTCTGAGAGAAGGAGAAAGGAATCTTGTTCCTCTTGTTACTCTCTTTGACTTGAAGCAAAACAGATAAAAATATCTGCAGCCGCTGTCTCAGCACATGCCTCTCTGCCAGCTCAGCTGACTTTGGTGACACGCAGATGGTGCCTCTCTCTTGAAGTGACTTCCTTGAGGACGAGGCTTGGCTCCATCTCTTAGCTTTCCATGGGTCCCGAGGATGCACAGAGTTTTTATTTTCCTTCAAAGTTGAATTTTGCTGCATTTTTCTTTTAGGTAACAATAATGATAAGCATCTTCAGAGTCATTTTGGGCCATGATAAGCATTTTGTGCCAAGTGTGGCATTGCAGAGTTTGAATGTAAAGGACAGGGTGTTTCTTGCCCCGTGAATGGTGTCATGCCGTCCCCTCAGGGGCAAAGAAGAGAACACGGGGGCAGCCCTGCTCTTAGAAGGTGCTGTGGGCCAAGGGCATTCTTAGCCGGCCTTGGATGAACTTGACATGCGTGAACGCTCTGGCTGACAAGACTGAGCTCAAAGATCGGCATGGCGAGTTGACATAAAACTTCATATTCTGTAACTTTCTAATGCATGCAATAAGTGCCCAGTACAGCAAAGCACTCTGACCCATGTCACCCAATGATTGTTTGGGTTGCAACCATAAAGAAAGGCACCACAAAGCAAACATAAAAAGTATTCTGGCCCTCTCTGGAGGAAAAATATATATATGCATGTATGCCCACACTTAAGAATCATGATTTCTTAGGAAATTATTTTTATAGTGTGTTTGAGGCTACAGAACATAACTCCCTCATCAATGCAAATTGTTTGAGAGCTCATTCCCAATTTTTGATCACGCGCTTGGCATTTTGCATTCCGCACTGAAAATGGTCATGCTTTCAGTTACCAGAACTAAAACTAAAGAGGGACCAAACTCCTTCCTGCTGGGATGGCGTCCTCTGGCTCTGTCTGGGTGTTTGGAAGAGAGTCTGCAGAGTAGGACAGGGCCGAGTGTGGAATACTGATGGTGGGGTCCATCTGTCCAGCCCATGAGTCATCAGCAAGTTAGATGCAGAAATCTGGGGTCCAGAGAGGCAACAGGGTGAACAGGGTGTCTACAGCTTGCATGGGTTTGGTGGATGAGAAAAACGTGTGTCAAGAGTTAACCTTGCAGACAGTTGAGTAGCACCCTGAATGGAGCAGCAGCTAGCATGCTGCCGTCCTGGCCAATTTTGAGCAAGGTCCATGCTACGGAGTGGTGCACAGATGAGTCTAAGAACCTTAAAGCTGATAAAGGTTTTATCAGCCCTTCTCCTGGGGAGCATGACTGTCTGCAGCTGGATGTCCTTCTGGTTCAGCTGCATGAATGTCAGTGGAAGGGTGAGGGTCTGCCTGGCACCGGTGGCCAGATCCTGCTGGGTGGAAGAAAGGGAAGCTCAGAAGTGACCGGGGGGACAGTCCAGCCCCAGTCTGACGAGGAGTCAGGCCCAGGAGGCCACGGGCTTGTCCTTGGCTTCATAGCTCGCTGAGAGCAGGTCAGCGGCCAAGGCCGTCTGCACGTGTCCCATCACCCTGGGACATCAGACACAGAGTGTGCCATTACTCGGCTGCCTCCCTGGACCCAGCAGGACTTCCCACCCTCCAGACAGACTCCTGGCCCTGCCCGGGCAGATGAGCTTGGCGTGTGCGATGGAGACGATCCTCCGTCCACGCGCGTCCTCGTGCTTGCTGCGCCCCTGGAGCCTCGGCTCCCTCGCAGCACGTTTGTGTCCAAGAGCCCCACGGGGCATTCATGGCAGCTGGAGCCCTCAGCACCAGCGAGGAGCTTGCCATCCAGATGACTTCTTGGGAACCGTCTAGAAGTGTCTCCTCTATGTCCGGTTGTTTAGTGTCTCCTTGCTTGTTCCGGTGCAGCCTCTCTTGAAGTCTGGGAAGGGACAATAAGACAAAAAGCACCCATCAGGCCAAGTGTCTGAGACCCCCCAGGTGCCGCCGACCTTCCGGACCAGCTTTTGCCCCTGCGAGGGGCTGGCCCGCTGGCTGTTCCCAGCGAGCTCTTTCAGGCTTTGAGGTGGGAGTCGGTGGACGCGCCCCAGGTCCGGCTCGCAGACCTCGCGGCGGCTCTGCTGTCTCCGTCCTGGAGGGCCCGCTGCCCCTTTGTCACCACGGAGCTGGTTTTCCGGTCTGTGGGTCAGCTATGCCTTTGAGCACCCCTCTTTTCTCTTTTCCGTGCTGGACGCCCTTCTTTTCTGGTGCCTTCACACTCAGCGCCAGCGTGTCTGCTTGTGGGCCGACCTGGGATTGGGCGGAGGAGCCAGGGTGAAGCGCCTTCAGTCATTCCCTCATTCTCCATCCATCCATCCATCCATCCATGAATCTACCCAATGTGCGTCCGGACATCAAGGCTGCAGAGGCGAGTGGTGCATGGATTTCATCTCGAGGAGTCCGAAGTCCGGTAGAGAGAGCACAGGGTACCATTGTTACTTGTAACACATCAAGTTTGAGTGAGGCGGAGTGGAGGCCCTGGCGGCATGCTCCCTGGAGCACGGAGGGGGTGGGGGGAAGGGAACGCAAAGCCATGGGCATGGGGAAGCCTTTGCAGAGGACGTGGCGAAGTGGGTTCCACATTTCCAAGCTCTGTACAATGCTGGGCACCTTGCAGGTGCGCAATAAAGTAACTGTGGACGACCGGTGAGCGGTTCTTTAAGATCTCTCCAGGGGACGCATCCTCGGGGTTGCAATGAGGTGTGGGGCCCGTGGCTTTCGTTTTTGTCCCTTTTTCTTCTTGATCCGCATGAACTCAAGCAGTTTTCAGCCACATCTGGCTTTTGTTCATTTCTTAAGAATTTCTGAGTCCTCTGTGAGAGAACAAAGAGGAGCCTGGTTCAGTGAAGCAGGCCTTGGAACGACTTTTCCGTGTTATTTCTCTGAGAAGCTAAGAGGATGTGCTTTTCGCCTGCCCTTCCTAAGCACCAAAGGCTCGCTGCTCCACTGAACCTGAACCACCCTTTTGTATTATTATTATTCTCTCGGAAACTCCCACTGCGTGGGACTAGTCAGAGGGTACTGTCGTCTCTGCGGCCCCCGGCAGGGCGTCCCTCTGGGGTGAGGCAGTGGCACCTCTGGCCCCGGTGTGGGCAGGGTCTGGCGCACGTCTGCGTCTGGCTCCGCGTTCTGCCTGAGCTCACCACACCGGGCGTGTCTTCCCAGCTGTGACACCACGAGCCGTGCGGTGTGGCCTGCTTGCCTTTCGTGACCCGGCCCCCCGGTGGGTCATGGCCTCTCCCTGTAGGTGTGTCCCCCAGTCAGGGACTGACGTCTCAGGACTGCACTCCCAACCCGCTGTCAAGTCTTACATTCCAATCAAGAAAGTGCTCATGGCCACTGTCGTCGACCCCCCCAGTGACGGCTGTCAGGCGCTCACGTCTGGAGGCCAGTCCTGCCTCTTCCCGGAGGCTGTGCCCAGGGAGGGTCCCCAGCCGTGGGCTAAGGAGGTGCATCCAGGGGCTCCCGTTCACGCCTCTGGATGTGAATGCTGGAGGGGGCCTCTGAGGGGCGAGGAGGGGCTGCGGGAGAGAGGAGTCGCCAGAGGCACTCCCGAGGGGCGGGGGCAGAGTCTGAGTTTCCTCCCGGGAGGAAACGTTCCGGAGGCCATCGCCGCGTGTTTGGAAACCGAGGAGCGCCATCTGCAGGTCTCCTCCGGGTGCAGGTAACCAGTGCGTCTCCGCAACAAGTGCCGTCGCGTCATCAGGCCGCGGAGGTTCTGGGCGAGTTTCGCCATGCTGCCCACATGCTGGAGGAATCCCCTGGAACATCGCCAGGAGGGCAGCGCCTGGTGGGTCCGGAAAGCAACATCGCTATCGTTGTCATCACCGGCGTGTCTCCTGCCCAGACCGGCAGAATTATTAGCACGGTTACCCTCGGCGGTGGCCACCCCAGCGCCTTTGGGAAAGGTGGGGATCCGGCTGACCCTGACGAAGCCCCCCGACCCGTGGCCAGCAGTATGGCCAGAAGTCTCACCAGTTGGCATGCTTCCTGGAGGCTGTGGAAACACAAATGGCCTGAGGGAAGTTCACACCTTGTGTCAACACTAGAAACATAAAGGGCCTTACGAAATCCCTCCTGTCCTGGGAACATTCCTACACACCGGGAATGGTTTTGACAGGTAAGAAGTGTGATGGGAGCACTGAACTGAGAGTCAGGAGGTGCCCGACTTAGGCCGGCACCCTGTCGGCCGGGAGCCTTGCCTAAGGCAAGCCCTCTGTGGTGAGGGCTGGGGACAGAGGGAGGGGCGCTCTGAGAGCTAAGAAAGAAGACGGCAAAACAAAAACTGTCCTCTAAATGCCCAGCATAGGCTCAGCCCATGACGGATCCAAGTAGAAACACACGCCTGAAAGGAACCGAAGGAACCATGCAGTGGGGCCGTCGCCTGGCGTGCTGGTGCCTGCAGAGAAGCCAGCTTCCTGGGGGCGGGCCCTGACTTGCAAACGGATCGACGTCTCCGTGGCCGCCGCAACATCACGGGAAGCACTGGCACAGCACTGGGAGAGCCGCCAGCCCCCGAGCCGGCAAGGTGCCGGGGCTGCTGCCTGGCCTCCCAACCCCTCATGCTCCCACTGAGGGCACCCAGGATGCTTCCGTCACCAAGGGAGTTGAACGGCCCTGGTGGGCAGAGAAAGGCAAACGACCGACGCCCACGCGACTGCCCATGGGAGCTCGATGCAGGAGGGAGGAGGCTTGGCATGGAGACCCTCAGTATCTCCGAGCCCAGAGGCTGCATCGCCCGCCCCATCCAACGAAGGTATCAGGGGACGTCCGCTCACACCATTACAGCTCAGCCTGTCCGGTGTCTCTTTTCCCCTTCGCTCCAAGCAGACACCTTTCTGATGATCACCTGGCTTCCTATGCTGGCTTGCCTCCGGGAGCGAGTTCACGGGACACACAGATTCCAGACTCCCCTGAGAACTCTCTGTGAAAGCAACTCTTTTATCAACTGTTCTGGTTTCCTGTGTAGCTTGAGAACATAATAGGCGGTCTGACCATTAAGTTCACAAACTCGTCCTAGAAAAAGTGTCGATGGCTCATCCCTCATCACTACAGTCGTCTTGCAAGTATGCCTCTTGGGAGGCTATGCACCGACACCAGCGTCTAGTCCACCTGCCAAAGCAGTTTGGGAGCTCTTTTTCTGGAATGGCATTAGAGCCATGGTCGTATGTTCTGAATGTCCTCAAAATGTTTTCCTTGTACTATTTCCTTTGTCTTCAGGTAAAGAAAAAAGTCATCGAGGGCCAGATCAGGTGAGTAGGGAGGGTGGGCCAATACAGTTATTTGTTGACTGGCTAAAAACTCCCTCCCAGACAGTGCTGGGTGAGCTGGAGCATTGTTGTGATACAAGAGCTCCTTCGGGACCATTTTTGCACACGCCTTTCTCAGGCCGAGATTTTCCGTTAAGATTTTCCTGTTTCTTTATCGATGTTATTTGGCCTGAGAGGTGTCTCATGGCCAGCCGATGATTTTGACACACAATTCGATGAATTTTTGCAACGTTTGCATCAGCTCTGCTCGTTACTGGATGTCCTGACCTCTCTTCATCAGTGATGCTTCCTGTCGACTCAGAAAAATGTTTAATTCATTTCTACACTGCCATTTTCTTCATGGCATTATCCCCGTGAACTTGGACTAACATGTCCCTGATTCCTCTTCCACTCTTGCCAAATTTAACATGAAACTTAACGTTTGTTCATTGTTCCAATTCAAGCTCCGACATTCTCATGATGGCACATGAAAACACACAACCTCAATCATGAACGCCACTCAGCAAGAAACCGCCACCCATTGACATGAACACGACTGGAAGACGCCGATAAACCAAGGCTGTCAAACCTCTGTACGGCGCTGCCAACATCAGCACATGGTGGCACGTTTGCAAGCTTAATTGTCAGGCCTCGTGTACTCAAGATGCTACGAAAGAGTTCTGGTCTATACGTCGGTTCTGTTTTTTTAATTTTAACGTTTTTTTGAAGATGTGGGGCACCATTCAGGGCTAGGTACACAGATGTTCGTTATGCAGGGACCCTTGTGGATGGGGTGTGTTCCCCTCCCCTGGCAGTTTCCCACTCCTGCCGACCCCGCCCCCCACTCCTCTGGCAGTTTCCCACTGCGGCCGATCCCTTTCTTTAAGTAGCGCAATAGTTGTTCAAGGTCCGCTTCTGAGTGAGAACACGTGATACTCAGTTTGTTACCGTGATTGATGTTATAGACTCTCCGTCCATCCAAGTGTGAATGCCTTTCTCAGAGCCTTGCCAGTCCTGGAAGCTTATTGGTGCCGCATCTGAGCTTTTTGATGCAGCAAATGCCTCAGGCTGCAGTACTCGAGTCAGCCTAGAACTCGGCACCGCCCGGCAGCTCTCCCCGAACACCGCTGCCCCGCTGCCCTCTCCCCAGCTCCGTGGCCGCGGTCTGTGCAACGGGGCCCAGGAGGATGCGCTGGGAAGCTGAAAAGCCCCCTTCCGCCACTGTCCTTCAGGACGGTGGCACGCCTCCGTCAGGGTTCTCTGCTTGTGAACAGCAGGACGCCGTCTCAGGCCAGCCCAGGCCCGGGTGGACCGGCTCACGCCGCGGAGAACCAGGCAGGGCCTGCTGAATCCGGGTCTCAAGTGAATTCAGGCGCCATCACTCCTCCGTGATGTCTTCGCCGGCGCGCAGAGCGAACGGCCTTCCAACGCGGAGCACAGCCCACACGGCTCGGGACGGTCACCTGGTGGCTCACTCCGCTCTCCTCTGTTAGTCCGACTGGGAATTCTTCAGGAAGGTTCTTTGTTTTTCCTCTCAGTCGGGTACGTGCCATCCTTGCGTCCACCCCTGTGGCCTGGAAGGTGCAGTCAGATGATTGCTGCAGATGGGGCTGTCGACCCTGGAGATGGTGTTGGTAGTTCCCGCAAGGACAGAGGCAGGGAGGCGAGATGGACGTCTCCCACGGCCCCTCCTCCGCTGGCTCAAGCTTTAAGACCCATGTGATGCCCTTTGCCTTTATACGGTGCCTTATGATGTATAAAACCCTTTCACGTGTACCAAGCAGACTGCATCTGAGCCACAGATACGTTTGGTTTCTGGCTTCTCTTAAAAAGCAGAAGCTCCGGCCATTTGGCTAGCACTTCTACCAGGGCAGAACCAGCTGGAGCTGTCGGAGCAGGTGACACCCCGCAGCGTGTCACGGGCCCCCTCATCTCTCCGTCGCATCCCTGGCCCGACTCGCCTGGCCCCTGGAGCCGTCTGGCCTTGCCGATCCCAGTACGATCCCATTGACCTCACATCTGTCCTGGGAACACTCATTATCTTTTTATGGTTTAAACCAAGAGTCAGAGGTTCAGTGGCCTTTCCTGGGATCACACAGAAAGGGAACCCCAGAACCTGGATTTCAGGGAGGAAGGCGGTTCAGGCCCCCGATAGGGCTGTTCCAGTTGTGCATGGATTCCGTGCTAGCCTCTGTGTGAAAGAAGCCTCCAGAGCTGTGTAGACAACCTGGATGTGGGAGTCCTGAGACTGTTTTCCCTTGCATTCCATCACAGTCATAGCGCCCTGTCACGAATTTACCTGAAACAAGGCTCCTCCTTCAAAATGTATCATAGAATAGACATTCACGACTAAGCAAAATGCTGAATGATCAGGTTGGAACAAATGCTTCCCTTAGTTA